GAGCCCCACAGTGGGCTCCCTGCTCAGCAGGAAGCCTGCTTCTCCCTCTCCCACTCCCCCTGCTTGTGTTCCCTCTCTCGCTGTGTCTCTTTCTGTCAAATAAATAAATAAAATCTTTAAAAAAAAAAAAAGTCCCATCATTTTATCCCATTTCCACGCTTTATTTGCTTTAGGACAACACTTTTCTTCAGTTAGGACAATTATTACTTTATTCTCTGCCCTATTTTACTACAACACAAGCTCCAAAAGTACATCTGAGTCTACTTTTCCCCAGTTACTAATAAGGGTCTCGTATGTATCAGGTACACAATAATTATTTACTTATATTTAAGTGTAAGTCACCAAATATTTCCTGAAGTGACTACAAACACATATTCTTGGTATACAATGGGATATATGTTTGGTAAACAACGGGCTACATGCTTCGTATACAATGATGACTAAGACTTTCTGTTCTTCATAGAACTTACAGACTATTAGGAGAGGGACTCAATAAGTGAGTAAAATACAGTAAAATTTTTCGAATTATGAGATATTCTATGAAGAAACAAATAGGTTCTTTGAGAAAGTAAGGAAAGAAGCAGAAACCACTTTAGCCTGAGTATTTCTGAAGTGATTTTAATACTAAGTATCAAGTGCCGACCATGAAAATAAGGTCACACAGCTGGTAAAGGGCAGAGCCAGAAGCTGAGTCCAGTTGGGCCGGCTCCAGAGTTCAGAGCCTCAAGCACTTCCCAACTTTGCTTCTCTAACAGGCAGAATCGCACAAAATGTGAGCTTCATGTCACCTCAATATTTACACTCGCTCTAAAAAAGATTCTAAGAATCATGGGAAGTTAGAAAAGAAAAATATTTGAAACACAGAATAAGAAAAGAAGACAGACTGGAATCCTCTAAGCGTCTCAAGAAAGAGGCAAATCTGCACAAAGCACTACATCACTTCCTCAGGGCAATAAATGTTCTATTTCTTACCTTAACACCTATGGCAACAATGAGGTGCTTGGGAAACTGAGAGCTGTCCAAACAATACAGACATCTTTCCATTTGTGCAGCCAGACTCTGGTGCTCGGCAATTGCTTTCCTCCTCTGGTTCTCTTCCTCTTCACCAGAACGTTCTTTCTCAGCTGCTTTGGAGACAAACAGGTCATCGAGAGTGTAGTAGTCTCCATCTGTTTTTCCCATAAACTGAAAAACCAAAATAACAGTAGTGGGGAGAAGGCAGTGGTTAACATTTTACTGTACTGTAGCTACTGAAGTCCTATCTGTAAGTTCCACAGTAAAACTTTTAAATTAAAAAAAAAAGAAGAAAAACATGATTAAAAATTTAAGCTTGGGGGCGCCTGGGGGCTCAGTTGGTTAAGCGACTGCCTTCGGCTCAGGTCATGATCCTGGAGTCCCGGGATCGAGTCCCGCATTGGGCTCCCTGCTCGGCAGGGAGTCTGCTTCTCCCTCTGACCCTCCTCCCTCTCATGCTCTCTGTCTCTCATGCTCTCTGTCTCAAATAAATAAATAAAATCTTTAAAAAAAAAAAAATTTAAGCTTGATTTTCAAGGTCAATCAATCCTCATCAACATCATCATCATCCCAGCTCCAGTTTACCGTGTATCTACCACGTAAAATTTTATGCAGTGTGATTGTTTTATACTTCCCCGCGAGAATGAGACCATTATCGTTTCCATTTACTAGATGAGGAAATTGAACTACGGAGAAGTTAAGAACTTCTTTCATTTTAAAATCAGCATATGCTTCATAGAGAACATAAACATTTTTCAACTCTATCTCCGGGCGGCTTCTCCGCACCTCCCCAAACATCAACTGTAGGCAGGGTGATGCTTTTAAAACACAAATTTTATTTACTTATTTTATTTATGTCCTCAGAGAACTCCACATTGTGAACAGGATCAAGTTCAGGCTCTGTTTTGCCTTCAAAATCATAGAAACAGACAAGCATAATGGTTAAAAGCTGGGACTCTCTATAGAGTCAGAGTGACTGTGGTGAAGTTCTAGCTCCTGTCTGTCTTAGCCTTGGGCAAGTTATTTAAACTCTCTGTGCTCCCTGCACACTTCATTTCCTCATCTCACAATGGTTGTAACAATACTATCTACCTAACAGGTTATCTTGCTTAATCCTCACAACACATGCCTGGCACACAGGAAGGACTCACAAAAGTTGAGCCACCATTACTATTACAATCTTCACAATCTGGCATTGGTGACCTTTCTTGTCACATGTGATTACATCCCTAACTTTAGGCGCTGGTCATCATCCTATTTTCAGTCCCCCAAAACACTGCTACCTTCAGGCTTCACAACACACTGCTCTCTGACCAATTCTGCCCCCAACTGTGCCAATCTACTCCCACTCCTTTTTCAATCTGAGGCTTCGATTTAGTTGTTACCTCCAAAAAAGAACTTTCCTGGATCTTCCAAGATCCACTGGTACTGTACTCCCATCAGTTTCACGATGACCACACTTTATCATAACTTCTCATTAACTGGGTTTTTCTTCCATTAGACTAAGTTCTAAGTACTATTAAGTCTACTAAGTACCAAAAGAGAACTGTCTTTTTTATCATCAAATACAAAGCAATAGCAAGATGCTTGGATTTTATCAGACATGTAGAAAGATTTGAAAAGAGCTAGAATGGCTGAATTTATGTCAGAAAAAGTAGAATTCAAAGCAAAGAATATTGAAGGAGATAAAAGGTCATTTCACAATGATAAAAGAGTTACACCATCAAGAGGACATAACAATATTGAAATTTATACGCCTAATTACTGAATTTCAAAATATATGAAGCAAAAACCTGATAGAACTGCAGAAGAAAAACACAAATCCACAAATGTAGCCAGAGATTTAAATACCCCTTTTTCGGGCGCCTGGGTGGCTCAGTCGTTAAGCATCTGCCTTCGGCTCAGGTCATGATCCCAGGGTCCCGGGATCGAGTCCCACATCCGGCTCCCTGCTCCGCGGGAAGCCTGCTTCTCCCTCTCCCACTCCCCCTGCTTGTGTTCCTGCTCTCGCTATGTCTCTCTCTGTCAAATAAATAAATAAAATCTTTTAAAAAAAAAAAAATAAATAAATAAATAAATACCCCTCTTTCAATAATTGATAGAACAAGGAGAAAATCAATAGGCATACTGAAGACCTGAACAACCTATGAACCAGTTTGAAACCTGACACTGACAGAAAGTCTCTCCAACATCAACAGAATACACATTCTTCTCAAGTGCAGAGACAACATTTACCAAGAGATGACATTCATGGTCATAACGCAAGTCCTAATAAATTTAAAAGGATTCAGGTAACATAAAGTATATGCACTGAGCACAACGGAATTAAATTAGAAATCCCAGCAGAAACACATATGGAAAATTGCCAAGTATTTGGAAATTAAATAGCCCAGTTCCAAATAACCCATGTATCTATCAAATAAATAAATAAGAAAATCAGAAAGTATTTTGAAGTGCAATAAAATACAGGTGAATCTGTGGGATGTTGCTAAAGCAGTACTGGGAGGGAGAACTGTAGCACCATCAGAAAACAAGAAAGGCCTCAAATCAATAATATCAACACCACCTTAAGAAAGCTAAAAAATAAATAAATAAAATAAAATAGAATGTAAACAAGATTTCTAAAATGTCATTATTGATAGAACCAGGTAAAAATTAGAAACTAGGTATGAACTATTAGTAGTAAGGAGTCTCTCCGAGCACATTAGCTTCCTTGTCTATACTAGAATTTATTTTTTATCTTCTACTTTTTCTCCGTATTAATTCTTGCAATATATCTCTCTATTCTTGCAGGTTCATTTATGTGAACTGCCCTGATTTACAATTATTTTAACTTCAGAGCTTGATCTCAACTACAAGATATTACATTTTGAAAAATATCAGAACTAGTCACTAATTATTTTCAGAGTGACCAACCATGTGCTAGGTACTAACAGAAACCTTAAGTACTGTCTCATCCGAACATCCCTACAACATAGGAACTGTCATCCTCACTTGTAAGATTTAAAAAACGATGCTTAAGAGAGACTAAAAACTTCATCAAAATCACACAGCTAGTAAGAGACAGAAGCAGGAATCCAACGCAGGTTATCTGACTGTAAAAATGAAGAGTGTATGACATACAGTGAGCCTCTCTCACTTAAGAAATCCATCTTTAAAAGACAAGCAGGGTGTATTTTAAATATAGTCTATGAAGCAGCACAGAGAATGAGAGGAGACCTTAAATTTCACCTAGAATAAATACACCCAACTGAGTGAAGGTACTAATCAGAGAGAACACAGACTTCGAGTAGGTCCTTCTCTCTCCTGACGTGTATTAGTAGGAGCAGAATACGTACTTCCACATGTACGTGTACCACATATGATATATTGCTCTAAAGCACCGTTATTAAAAACCAGCTCATGGGGCACCTGGGTGGCTCAGTCAGTTAAGCGTCTGCCTTCTCAGGTCATGATCCCGAGTCCCACAGTGGGCTCCCTGCTCAGCGGAGAGTCTGCTTCTCTCTCTCCCTCTGCCCCTCCCCCTGCTCGTGCTCTCTCTCTCTCTCAAATAAATAAAATCTTAAAAAAAAAAAACAGAACATGTCTTTCTCTGATTGACTTATCGTAAGTGATCAGGGAATATGTTCAATTCAAATCAAATCCTTTGTATATGGAAGACAGTACTTCTGTTCTTTAAATCTATGCTCCATGGATGTTGCCAAACTTCTCTGATTTATTCATAGTTTTGAATTAAATAGAGTACAGTCTTGTCTCTTAAATCTGCATAATTCTTCAACACAATACAAAATTGAATTTTCAACATAACTACAATTCCCTCCTCCTATGCCCTCTAATTATTTGAATTTTTCCCATTATCTTCTATTTGGGCTTTGATCCAAAATGCTTTTAATTTATAAATCGTGTACACATCTTCTGTGACCTTCACGCCACCACCTTCCTATACTTGACAACAAAAAATTTTCAGCAGACAGAATGTTAACAGAAAGTGGAGAATTGAGTCTACGAAGTGGAAAAGCAAAACATTTGCTGGCGGAAAGGAGGTGAAGAAAGAAAAGAGGGGTATGAAAATAAGACTCTCATCATTTAGACAGACTCCTAAAGAAAGCTGATGGGATGGTATAAGCTGGAGTTCATTACATCATATTTTAAAACTCTGAAAATCTCTTTTTCAAACAAGTCAGAAAAATGTGATAAAATAATTATGACATTAAAAAACATCAAAGAAAGGAGCATCACCAAAAGCGAGCTATAGATTCAACACAAAGCCTATCAAAATCCCAATAATGTTTTCTGCAAAAATAGAAAAACCCATCTTAAAATTCATATGGGATGGACCTCAAGGGACTACAAAGAGACAAAATAATCCTGAAAATGAACAAAGGTAGAGGTCTCACACTTCTTGATTTTAAAACTTACCGCAAAGCTACAGCAACCAAAACAGTGTAACAGACCAATGGAACAGAAGAGAGAGCCTAGAAATAAGCCCTCTCATATATGCTCAAAATAGTCTCATCAAGGGTGCCAAGACCATTGAAAGGGGAAATGACAGTCTCTTAAACAAATGGTGCTGGGAAAACTGGATATTCACATGCCAAAAAAAAAAAAAAGTTGGACCCTTAATTTATACCATATATAAAAATTAACTCAAAACAGGTCACAGACCTAAACTTAAGAACTAAAACTCTAGGGCGCCTGGGTGGCTCAGTTGGTTAAGCGACTGCCTTCGGCTCAGGTCATGATTCTGGAGTCCCGGGATCGAGTCCCGCATCGGGCTCCCTGCTC